ATGGTATGTAAATACGAGATCGTATTTACAATATAAAACACGAGGTAAAAATTACGTTAAAATTAATTCAGGTTAGATCGTAGACATAAAAATGGCTCGTTTTGCGAAACACTAAATAGTAATCTAGTTGAGTTAAGTAAGTTTTTCTTCAGTTCCTTTAGCCTCCGCACTGATAATAATAACGTAGGTTGTACTACGATGTTGGCAACGGAGACAGACTGTTTGGACTCAATTAAATTCATATGAATCATACATCACTCCTCATATTGAATGTAATAACGCTGAAATTTATAAAATAAAATAAAACTTGAGGTGTTCAGAAGTTCAAATGCCATTGTTCGTACAGCTTTTACATTATTACCCAACGGGGAGAATTTTCACAACACTTCTATTAGAATAATTAAATTTTTAGTTATGTGTCCTCCATTACAACCATAAGCGTAAGAACAGATGTTGCGGAACGTGTGGGGAAACTGAGAGTATATCGAGAGTTGACTTTCTCAACAGATTCACGCTTAGAGTTTGTGCTATCACAGTCAGGTAATTATTTCGTTTAGTTACTTGTGAGCGTACGATTTCCAAAATTCGGGTATTTTTGTGACGCATCAGGCACTGTTTTTTAGCTCTATGGATTTTTATGTACTCATTTTCTTTGATTTCTCTGATAATTTTATCGATACTGATAAATTAAAGGGCCAACGGAACAGTCACTATTGTTTTGCATGGTAAGAGTCATTGCTATTTATTTTCTTATATTCAAATCAAGTAAGTCCAGTTGTTTTCACTTAGTGAATGAATTTTATCTGAATTGCACGATCTGGTTTCAGGTATGCAGCTCTCAATTGCTCAAAATGGCCTGATTAATCCCAAGCGAGTTCAGTGTTGATCCGGCATTCTTTCTCATGAAAAATATAACACGGATTTTTTCTAGATTAGAATAATCAAGAAATTTTAAATAATTTTAAAGAAATATGGCGGAAAAATATTCACCAACATCCACAACAAAATTTTCTTTTTGGCGTCAAAGCATGTTTTCAATTTCACCAGTTATTTTTTTAATTATCGAAATTTATAATGAAATAAATTTCTGTACAATGGAACGTTTTATATTATTCACTTTTTAATTTGTTATTCGCATCATTTGATAATTACAGTTTCAACTTATGCTTCTTCACTGGACGACAGGAAAGCTACAGATCATTCTTTTTAGAAAGTTGTTCTCCCTTCAACCTTTTTCCATAACTTGAAACAAAATACCTACATTTCTCAAGCATATGTTGAATTTATGCAGCCGATCAAAAATCGCGAATCAAAAATATTCGCGAGTATTCACTTGCGACTAATTGAAAAAAAAATTAGATCAGTACTCTCTGCAGTGAGGGACAGAGCGCATTTTCTCGTCTGTATGTGACGTGAAATCGCGGACGGACAGACATGACGAGCACAACAGCACCTTTTTTTCATAAATGAGAAAATGCGCTAAAAATGTTCTTCTTAAATATTTAAATGATACATCACAAAGAGGTTGCCGCAAAATAAGCCACTTGAGTGTTACACGAGGTGGCAGATTGCGTGCCACTACAGCGTTACTTTATGACAGTGCAAGTTTAAACATTACTTCCGAGCTCTGGCTAAGCTTAGCGGAGTATCTATTGATACTTCGTTAAAATATTCTTTGTGCATAACTACGTACTTTGAGAGAAATTTTGGGCATTTTTGAAAAAGTTACGTAAGACATGTTAATTTTTTCACGTTTCATTCAATTCAACGTTCGCAACGTTGACGTCGTACATTCCCAAAGTGCCATTTTATAACTGGTGACACGTAACGCTCATCACTTCCTTCACATGCTGTTCAATTACGCTGCTGTATTTTTTTAAGTGTGCGATGCGCCGCTTTGTAAAAGAACAAAGCCCGTACTGCAGTCAAAGCATTGCTCAGGAAAGCATATATCCTAACTCACCAACATCCGCCGATTGTCAGTGAAGCGCTAACGGCAGGCGAAAGTTGGCACTAAGTCAAAGGTTGCGAACTTCTTTCTTGGTAACGATAGCCCCTTACAAGTAGAAGGAGATTCGCATTGAGGTCACTGAAAAAGCTAATCTTGATCACCGCCGTGAGACGTGAAACGAAAGTTGTTGAACCCGCCTTAGATAATCATGAGTATCTCAGTTCGATGCGACCTGAATTTCACCTTCGTTAATTAAGATTTCCCTGAAATCAGATATAAAATAATAAATTCATTAAGATGCACAAGTTATTTCTGTATTTTTGACATAGTTAGTTCCATGAAACAAGTTAAATTTAATGTTCAGTTGCTGAATTTAGATTTTAAAACTATCACATCTATATAAACAGAGCAAAATTTTGAAATGCGAGTCTTATCACCACAATTCTTCCATTACCTTGCGAAAATCGTTCTTCAAAAATTAATTCCAAATATAGACATTTGCTGAACCTCATCCATAGCACAGCAGTGAAATCTGTGTTTTTACGGTTGCTGAACTTCCTGTTTTAGTACTTCAAGTTCAAATTACATTAACAATCTGAATTAATTTTAACCTCAAATAATTTTTATTAAAGACCTTGACCTGAAATGAGCGTCAGAAGCGAACGAATCTTTCGTTGCATTGTATGGATCTTTTCGTTTCATTGTTGCACGCGACTCGAAAAGTAAGTAGCTTAGGCATATTTCTTTGCGATTGCATGTGTCACTCAGTCAATGCTTGTATTGTTTCTTTGCAGTTTCCGAAAGCTCTACCTTCACCGCCACCCGCAGCTACTAAGATTGCGACATCAGTTCAAAACAAACATGCCAACTTCAGCGCGGTTTCAACCTCACCGTCGAACAATCAAGCGAAACCAGCCCTGCAAAACGGCAAGTCCTCAACCAACGCTTCGGTTCCGACCACAGTCGTGCCCGACAAAAATCCGACCGAAGTAGCCGAAAGTAAACCAGCAACGGCCGTCGCTCAGCTGAAGGCCTCGCACAATCGCCATACAGCCAAGGTGAGACGTGTTCCGGAAATTCTGTTTCAGATTGTTGAAATATTAGCAACTTTTAGTGGAAATTATTTACCACATGACAAGATTTTCTCGAATGTTCTCTGGATCCTGTTTTCTAACATGGTCAACTTAACTTTGAGAAAATGCATTTCCAGTAAATTGAATACTTGTATGTAACTATATAAGTTATCAGTTATTTATTTGCATAGATCACAGGATTCATACACACTACTCATGCTGTAAAGTGTTAAACTCTGCGCATATTGGTTTTTGGTTTGGTTTGGTTCCAACTCTTTTTGTTGGAATGGTGAGTGTGGGAGGCCTTATAAAAAAAAAATAATATTGGTCATTGCCAAAATGCACGAGACTTCCAACCTTCGTAGCGGTTATTCTTTTCTCACTTCTAATGCAGAATATTCACTCAAATGGATCACGACGACAAATTGCAAGCCACTTACGCTCAAGGCTAGACACGCATGTTCACTTGCGTATCAATAGCACACGCACGCGCTAGCGTATCTCGGCAAACGCGGGTGCTGATGTATCAACGGCCAAAGCGACTCGTGTGCTGGCGTATCAATTACACACTAAAACAGGAATAAACAGGATACGCCAATAATAAACACGTGTGTTGGCGTATCAAAGACAAACACGTGTCTTTGATACGTGTTGCATTATTGATACGCAAATCTATGGATTGCGTAAGCGTATTAGCAACATTTGGGTGTGTTGGCGTATCAACGAACCACGCGTAAGCGTATTAGCAACATTTGGGTGTGTTGGCGTATCAACGAACCACGCGTAAGCGTATTAGCAACATTTCGGTGTGTTGGCGTATCAAAAACAAACACTTGTCTTGGCGTACGAACGACACATGCGTGATCATGTCAATGATGAAGACCTGTGCTGAGAATCGTATAAAAATTCTATTCGACAACGTAATATCATTTTTAGGCATAAATATCAGAATAATCCCTCGAAGCTCAACCAAGAATTGAATAAATCTGCAGTTTCATTGACGCCTTTTGAGCGTTCATTCTTTCAACACAACAGTATCAGAAGATAATCGATTTTTCACATTCGTGTAATTGAGTTTGTTCATGAGTTTACAAAACCAATCACACGATGTTTAAACGTCTCGTAAGAAATACGTTAGCTAAGATAGTAAAATACTCGTTAACTCTCAACAAAATAGACGCTGATGTGTTCAATGTTCTATGCTGAGTAGCCAAAAGTGCAGGAATAGATGTTCCTAGGAAATGACGGATTTCCGGTGCAATCGGAGAGTGGGCTAGGCAATGGCCAGAAATCTGGGCTTGCGTACCTGGCAACAAGCGTGCTAGTATTTCCGGACGGACCACAGACGGACCTTCACTGTATTGACGGGGTATTTCCGAATGGACCTTCACTGATGAATAATTTCAAGATTTACCGAAGAATTAAGAGTCGAATAGAAATAAAATGAAGCATCAGATTGTGTTGTATCGTCACTTCAGGTGAACCGTTTCAAAGAACACTTGACTGAGACAGACATATTAGTTTGACGTGCGAAATAAGGCGTTCTACTCTGCGCAAGATAAAATTTCACCTGTACAAAATAATAAACCCGATCCCGTGTTATTTAGAAGCTGGGGATATGAAGGAGATTGATTACCTTGATCAATGAGGCTTCAGAAAAAAATTCTGTTCCGGATCTCGAGCAAACTTGTCTGTATGCTCGTAAAAAGTGAGACGTCAGAAGTGAAATTATTCTATGTAAGTGATGTCTGACAAGCGTTAAGAATATTACAGTGAGAATTAATATTTAATTTAAAAATTTAATTTAATTTAATTTAAAAAATTTGGAAGATAGTTTCAATTACAGCCCGGCTCTACTAGTCCTTAGGTAACATTTTTTGAAGTAATAGGGACTCTAACCCATACCTGGGACTGGCAGTTGATATTGATATATATTGATATACGGTTGATATTATATTAAAATTATTTAGAATTACCTTTGGCCGGGGTAGTAGCAGGCGGTGGTAGAGTCGCTGTCTCAGCCTCCTTCCTGGACGCTGTCAGCAATACCCTGGGCTGTTCGCTTCGAGTTCTAACGCCGGTATCGGTCAAATCGCGGGAGGATGTAGACTTCAAATCCGGACTTCTGAAATATTATTTCTTTGTTATAACAGATATGTATTATTTTCCTTGATTCTTAATTGATAGTTTTGACCTACAGTATAATTCGTAAATGATACAGATATTTGATGCTTTAGTTATCGAATTGCGATGTAATGGACATGAATTACTAACAAATGTTTCACTGATAGATTTTCATATATTTTATAATACCATTAGTGCTATGGATAAAGAAAATGTTTTATTGAAATCACAAATTGATGACGGAGATGTGAAGATCAGTTTGTAATTTAGGACAAGTTCAATTTAGACTATACAATAAACTATCGATGAGCACCGAATCGACACTTCGGCGACTGAAGTGTCGATCCGGTTCGATGAGCTCGGTAAGCTTTAGGCGCAAGTTCAGTACACTATAAATAGGTACTGACCAAATTGATATTCCAGTTGTGCGCATGAGACTTCAAATTCTATTTTATCTATATGACGAACATAATATTAGTGAAAAAAATTGTAGTTTAACATCGAAAATTCGATTTTCTAAAGGAAGAAACGTGAAATTTTCTTTTTTAGGGGTAACTGAATAGTTTTGCTCTGAAGTACCTCGATATTCATTTTCCGCTGTCCATTATACAGAAACCTTCACTGCAACGATATGCGGCATTTAAATTACCCGTAATTAATTTTACACGTCTTAGCTTTCCTCCCTAGCCTTGCCTCTTCTTTCGCCACTATTAAATGATAAAGTATTGCGAGGCAGTTAGACGTTGCAACAGTTTAATACCTAATTTTCTTATGAGGTCGTCAGGCATCAAATCTATGGATTACAATTATAATTCCACTATCAATTTTCGAATAAAGTTCTGAGCCATCAATGAGTACACGGCTCAGTGTTTAAAAACTTGAACTTTTTTCGTCAAAAAAATCGTCGATCATTGCATATTTGCATAGAGATATATAAATTTGCGGTGGCTGAACGATTCACGATTGTGCTCTCGGTCTCAACAACCCAGGCTATTGATTTTTCAAACCTCTTCCCCGTTCCTCTGCAACAAATAATAATTTTTCTTACTGAATCAGAATGTGTTTTTGACATGCATATTTAATTTTAACCAAATGTGATCTTTCCGCACATTTCTGAATGAATTGCTTATCAAAAATACATACATGAGCAATACTCGTATAATTGGTTTCTGATGTCAAAACCAAATAAAACTTACGTACCTCAGGTTGTTAAGCTCCTGTTCATGCAGACTCTTCGGTCTACTCCACACAACGTTGTCATCTTGCCTCTGTTGACCAGTCCTTTGCTGTTGTTGTTGCTCTTCCAGTTCCCTTTGCTCGTGCTCCTGTTTTTTCGCCTCTTGTTTGGCATATGAAGTTGCGACGGGCAAATTCGGCAGCTCCCTGATCCTGGTGGATGTGTAGTACGCGTGAGTCGTGAACTGGCATACGAAGTTCTCTGAAGTGCCGCAGTCGAACAGGAAACAAGAGCCCGCGTTCTGGAAATAAAAGAAAACATTTAATTTTCTGCTCAGCCAGCAAAAAACGTGTCATGCTCGAAGATCAATGTCGATTCTAAATCTTCCCGAACCTTTATTATAATGTTTTACTAAAGAGACGCACTCGAGAGACACATTCACTAAACTATAATAAATTAAATGTCCATTATTATTATTTGAATATTTTATAATTATTCAACCATTTTTAATATAAGCTTGTTGCGGTTTCTTGAGAATAACTTAATTATTCTATAGGGCCATTCATACATACATTGCACAACCGACGTCTAGCCTGATCTACCAGAAAAATTGTCTCCAAAAGATACCGCCAATTTGAATAAAAGACTTGTAATTATCTCAGTTATAAATTGAGAGAATTACCTTTTCTTCGAAGACCGCGACGGTACAGCGAGCAGTTCTACAGCACAGCGCCATGCAGTCTTCTCGGTTTCCTACGTCTGATTCGTTGAGAAATTTTGCGCCGGCCTGCCTTGAGTCTTGGGCTCTGATGATGGTATTCTCACTCACTTCAAATCGCTGGAAACACGCGTGGTTCGAGTCCAGTAGTGGCACTGGACGTTTACGGTCGTGCGTGTAGATATCACTAGACGACGCCATGCTTAATTTACTAACCAGAAAAAGGAACAGCAGAAATGATCTGCTTGCAGCCATCATTGGGTCACACCGAGGGAGGTTATGCGATTGTGATGCTCGATATTTCTATTTTCGTTCAGTCAGAGAAAATTTTGTTATCAATTGTTGTTTTCATGCAGTTTTCAGCGATGCTTCGATCTCTACATTTACGTTCAGTAATCAAAATTAATTCTATGCACTGCAACTTGTACGGCATTAAAGACAAGTTAGAGGATAGGTTTGCATGAACGATTCTTAGCTGGATGTCAAGCTGTAGAACTATTTTAACACCATGCCACTCTGGCGAAAGCGATACTGAAGAAATAACTGACACTACTCTTCGTCCTTATAACCGATAATAAATGCCATGAACGCAGCTTGCAGTGATCGCTCCAGCTGATAGCCTTCCAAGGCTACTGGATTCCATATGCACGCAAACATCATTGCCGACCGATGTTGAATAACCTCCCCGATGTGATCTCTGCTGGTAACCTGTCTGTATTGCTTCTTAAAATAGTCTCATCACACTTTCGACTTGATGTTTTTGCTCCATCAGTCTGAATTGGCATCACTACTGTATTGTGCGACTGAACTATTTGCAAAATTTTGGTCAATGTTGGTTTATCGGAGGTTTCGTTTCCGATTTTCCTACGATCGAAGAAGAGGTTTTACTGCCCGTAGATTTCTCTTCACCAAGTGCTCGTTTTGCAGTTCGTTTGGTAATTTACGGAAGTGCAATAAGTGAAATAAATTGCAATCGCAAGTGCAATTGCAGGATGTTGCTAGATTTTTTGTTAGTTATAACGAGTTTATTAGCTCGACAGACTCCACATTTAATACTGACCCCAGTGTATTCCACATTTATGCATAAATAATCTATGATCCTTTTGTTCAGTTTTGACTTCGAATATATTCACGTGTTTGTCGTACGTCTGTCACGCTACCTGTAGCGCAGGCGCTGTAACAACGCGCCTATCGACCCGCGCGCTCAACGTGTTGACCTCAAGCACTGCATTAGATTTTCACGTGTGCTTTTTGTATGCACTTTTTGTGCATGAAATATTAAAAGGTTGATTTTTTGGTAGTCTGTGTAATCATTAATTTTACTCATTTTCAAGATTATCTCATGCGCTGCGAAAGAGTAACGTTCGATAATTTTTCTTTCCGACTCACTGATGAATGAATTTTGTTTGATATTGATTTAATCATTATTTAAATTAAATTTTTATGTTTTCGACACCATTCTACGAGTACGTGTACTTTATATTTTTTGAACATTTTGAACAATTATTATTTCCTTTCGAAAAATTCAAGCAATAATGGTCGTTCATTAATACTTTCTCGCACAATGCGACTGGGTGGAGCTTCAGTGCATTTATTGATAGTAAGGCCTGAGCGTGATAGTGTGTGTTGGTTTTAACACCTAATTTTACGTAATTAAATGGTTTAAACCATTTAAATGGTTTTTCACCTAATTAAATGGTTCGAACTGCGATTATAGGCTGTCTCATACATATCCCCTGTAGTCAATCTCACTCTACTCTGAAGTTTGGAGATTTACCAATTGACGAAGAACTGCCTGACGTTATAGGAACCGAATAACGATATAACAACGTAACATTTCAGTAAACTTTCGGACTGCATTATTCATAATTTGTCAAATTTTAGTGACTATAATGTTATGCAATTTCATTGCACGTCTATAAATAAAATCGTTGTGAGACTGAAAAACTGTGTTTTTTCGAGTCTTGTTTTCTCCGAGCCCGTAAATATTAACAACATTTTTCATAATTAATTTTTTTTAACTGTCTGATCTACGAAAATTACTTATGCTTGTTATAATTCAGACCTCCTTAAATGAATGAAAATTTTGAAATGTAATTGGTGTATCAGGTTCATGTGATGTATACCGAGCAATGAAACAAAGCATAGGAATTTTCTCGTTGAACACAATCCCTAAAATTTAATTCCGTTTTCCGATTCGTATCCATCTTGCTGGTAATCCAATACATTGTTGGATCGTTCGTCACGTCGAATTTCATTCCCGAAATTCGTGCAAATTTTTAATCCTGCAATAAAAATTTAGAGGCGAGACGCGAAGAATTTATTCGGCGCTGGTATCCTGGCTACCGTGTGCAACCTGGCGCGCCTGTCGACGCCTCGTGAGTCATGAGACTTGCCTGTGAGGTGACGCTCGAGGCGGGGACTTGGGGCTGGGACTTGGGGTTGAGACTTGAGGTTGAGACTTGAGGTTGAGACTTGTGGTGGAGACTTGAGGTTGGGACTTGGGACTTGAGATTGAGCCTTAAGGTTGGGATTTGGGGTTGAGATTTGGGGTTGCAACTTGAGATGGGGACTTGAAATAGGGGCATTCAGTTGGGCCTTGTGGTTGAGACTTGAGGTTGCGATTTTAGGTTGCGACTTGAGATGGGGACTTGACATTTGGGTTTGCAGTTGGGCCTTGTGGTTGACACTTGAGGTTGAGACTTGAGGTTGAGACTTGAGGTTGAGACTTGAGGTTGAGACTTGAGGTTGAGACTTGAGATGGGGACTTGCGGTTGGAGACTGGCTTGGGGGCTTGCGGTTGGATACTTGTACCTAAAACTTGTGGTTGGGAATTAAGCTGTGAACTTGATGGAGAAAATTGTCGTATGGATTTGGGGTAGAACTTGTTGAGTGTGCTTTCGTTAAGGCCGAATGGATTAACAGCCCTCATTTCTTATGCTGAATATTTATTCTATTCACACACAGTTTTCAAATTAAGATAAATCAAACGACGGCCAAATTAAAATCATCAGTTCCGACCGTAATCTTTCGGTAACTTTGTTCCCTTTTTAAAAAAGAGAATTTTTTAAAGAAAACAATTTTGGCGAACACGTATTTGCCAAAAATTCCTTTCATAATCACTGATACATATCCAGTGCAGTCTGCAGGTGAAGAATCACCACCATTAGTAATCGCTTTAGGTTATATTATGACATATTTCTTTCAGGGAACTTTAATTAACTCACGTGAAGTTCACTTAGCTGCTCATTGTAATGTATTGACAATGAGCAGCATTGACATGTAAAATAAAGCCTTGTCGTAGAGCCAGACATGATTACGTCATGTGTGATGGGAAAATTTATTTTAAATGTCTGGCTGTGCGTCACAACGCCTTTCGTAGTCAAGGATTGAAGGATATCGTGATAGCGCTCTATAACTTAACCCTTGTGACATCATCTTGACATCACTTAGGACTAAGGATTAGTGATTACCAGGATTAGGATCAAGACGGATAAACTTTACAAATAGGGTTTGTCTAAGAGGGTTGAGATCCCATAAATGAGGCATCACCTATGTGACTTTGAGCGACTAATTTGGCACTACGAGGCCCTAACCTTAGTGCATAGCACTGTAATTATTATATAGCATTGCACGTAGTGTATAGCACTGCAGCTAATGTATAGCACTGAACTTAGTGTATAGCTCTGCACCTAGTGTATAGCACTGCACTTAGTGTATAGCACTGCACTTAATGTATAGTACTTCACTTAGTGTATAGCACTGCACCTAGTGTATAGCACTGCACTTAGAGCATAGCACTGCACCTAGTGTATAGCACTGCACTAGAAGTAGATTCGTAAGTACTTAGCACTAACGGTGCTTGTACTCGGTAGCTGCCTGAGGCGTGATGAGTTACAGTGAGTAGCGCGACCGAAAAGAAGCGCTGCTGGGGTCAGGCTGGTCTTTCCTTCAGTGTCGTTGTGGACGCCGTATGAAGTGGTGATGTGCAACCGGTTTTCCCGTACCATTGCTTGAGTTGGATTACCGATTCTCATAAATTTTCATCGTGACGGAAGAATAAATGGTAATTTATATTTCTTTATTTAAGTGCGAATTTTGTAACAAAAAGGGTGTATTATTGTAGCTGCTAGCATTTTATCCTATCTTCTAATGATTTTTACTCTCGATTGTGTTATTTGAAACTTAATTTTTATTATAAAACTGATTTCGGATCAGGTGTGTGTGTTGAAGTTATTGAAATACGTTACAAACGAAGCAACTGATCTTTCTTAAACAATCCTACCTGTACTTAAAGTTTTAAATTAACGCACAAACAAACATCGAAATAAACTCATAGCTTTCTTCAATGTCAATGTCAAGCATTTACGTTACTCGAATGTTCTATAAAAGACAACCATCACATTTTCATGAAGTTCAGACGTAGTGATGAAGCCATAGCGACCGGTCGTGTGATCAATCAATGTTGTTATTTCTGGAGATGATTGTGAATAGCCCCAATGATATAGTTCCAAATTATCGCATTTATAAACTAATTTTTTCATTATTAAACAAATTTTCATTATAGATAAAACCGCCAATTCGCATTACTTGTAATTTTGACACGTAGACTCAAATAGTGTGTCTTTCACGTAAATATTTTCTTTGGCCTGGCATGAACGAAGCTGCAATTCTTTGTTAAAAAAACGCTCGTCTCACAGATGCCGAGATTTAACCCCTAAAACGACCGCAGGCAAACCACCGCTGGAGGTTCAAAGACTGAAACCAAAATTAAAGCTTTAACTTTAAAGCAAGTGTGCGACTCGTGATCGGATCAACATTACTTCTCTGTTGTTCTATTGTATCACTTTTTTTTTATTTTCGTCATCGTCGCAGTATTTTTATAGTTGAAGTAATTACGCTGAATGAATACAGTTAAATATTTTTACCGACTTTAGAACTCAATTAGCTTTTGCTGTGAGACGTTTCCATGAACAAGGTCCAGAAATAGGGAAGCATGCATTTGCGTAAATAGAGGGATAAAATAATGTTAAAATTTATTGCACGTTAGATGTACCTCTTCTAATGGTCGATCAAATAATTTGTATTATATTTTCTATATTCGCTTGCTCCGTGAAATAGCCTTAGGTTTAATGCACGGGTGCCAGCTTGAAGGTCGTCTGCGTAGGCTGGGTAGAATTTCAAGGTCATTTTACAAATGATAGTACAATACTTAGTAAAGGTTAATACTTGGTATAGTACAATACTTAGTACAGGACAATACTTAGTATAGTGCATACTTAGTACAGGACAATACTTAGTGCAGGACAATACTTAGTATAGTACGTACAATACTTAATAAAAGTACGATACATGTGGGCATCCTATTTCACCGATACGTGATGTGATTAATTCAACCGCTCAAAATTACAGGAATTGCGAATAAACGAATTACAATCATGAAGTCTTTTAATCGTCTCGTCCTATTCTAAGTAGAGCACGCTACAAGATTAACAAACAAGACGATTTTTAAGATAATTTTTATGAAATAACATTATAA